ATGCAGGTCCTATAGAGACGAGGGGAAGGTCAAGTAGAGGGAATCTGAAAAGCCAATACTTTAAAATTGTAAACTGCACTAAAGTATAATGTTTAGAGAAAACTTAAGGCTTCTGTGTGGCATAAGAAACCACTGCATAGAAAGAGCCCAGATTATCCTGATCTATGTTATAATGTTGTTTCCTCATCACAAACAGACCTGGAGATGTGTTTTGTTTGTTTCATTCACACATTTTAACACACAAACCTGCATATTTAGGCTGAGTTCTTCTCTTAAACAGAAAACCTTGATGTCATGTGGTGATACAAGTGCTCCACTGTGTTTTTAAACTCAATATTGTATTTTTCGGATTATAAATTGCTCCGATGCATAAGTCACACCAGACAAAAAATGCGTAATGAAGAAGAAAAAACATATATACTATAAGTTGCACTATTGAGGGGAAATTTATTTTATAAAATCAGGCACCAGGAACCGACATTTCATCTTGAAAGACAAGTTATAGGAACAACCAAATAAAAAACAACAGGCTGAATAGGCATCTGTTATGTTAACGTAATATATTAACAGTTATTCAGATAACTAGAGCATAAACAACATGACACAAGTTTACCAAATTCTCCATCTCACTCCAAATCACTAAATCCATTGAATTCTTCATCCTCGGTGTCACTTCTGAGCAACTTCGCGTAACTCTGGTTGTCACTGAAGTGCTGCTTGCTGCACCCTCCCTGTTGCCGTGAAGCTGTGTTCTCCGTTCCAGCTTTTCTCCAGTCCCTCACAAGTTTCTCGCTCTCTCCAAACTTTCTTTCTGTTGCTCGATTACTGTTTTCGGCTGCATATTTGACTACTTGCAGCAGGACAGCGGCTTTTTCTGCAGGAGACATGCGCAGAAAACTGACACACAAGACTAGAGTGCCCTCTCGTGGCTGTCAGTCTGAAAATTTTAATATATAAGTCGCACTGGAGTATAAGTCGCAGGACCAACCATACCATGAAAAAAAGTGCGACATATAATAAAAAAAATCCTGTACACCTTCACTAGAATCATTTGGATGATTTCCGACTGTGATAAATTCATTGAAGTAAATGTGATCAGCGGGAAAATGAAGACTGCAGATGTATGTGCTGTTTGGAAACATCTTGAATTTGGCGTCTCATCTCTTATAATCACATGTTTCCACTGTGCTCGGAGTTGTGTGTCAGTGCGGAAATGATGAAAACTGAGATGTGGTTGTAACTGTTGATTAGCTGAACATAACACTACAATGACATGTAGGTGAAGAAAACTGTGCCTGTGAAGTTCACATCTTTCCAGACGTCTTCCTGTTTTCTGACATAAGTGTGAACAGAGCCAATCTCTACTGAACTAAACGTAAAAAGTAGCTGTGTAATTTGAAAACTACCACTACATGACATCACAAGCTGGAACAGAGCATTTTGAACTCTGGAGATGTAGACAAACTAAGAATAAAAGTTTACTCAAACATGTGAATGAAACAAAACACAACTCCAGGTCTGTTTTTGAGGAGGTAACAGCATTATAACACACTTTAAAGTTCGCAAGAGTCCATTTTATGTAATACAGGACCTTTTAAAATAAATAAAAATAAATAGTCCATGATTTAAGAATGCCGTAATTATGCAACAGAAAATAAAAATGTTAATTCTTTAAACTTTTAACACTGATTATACTCATGCATTGTTGTCTTTCCCAGTGGCTTAACCATAAGCACCTAAAGCAGGATTTGAATGTTAAATCTCCACTTTTCTCTAAATGTGCAGTGAGGAGATAAGTTTTAGTTCAATTTTTTGTTTGTTTTGCGTCAGATGCCCTTCCATTTATTCACATTTTGGATTGGGATAATGTACGCTCGCTCCAGATGGTAACCCCCTACCTACATTTTATTATTATTATTCTTATTTAATTAAGCAAAAAACATAAAAGATAGAACATAGAAGTGCTATTTTACTGTCACGTTTCACACAACTGACAAAAAATAAATAAAAAGGAAGTTCTGCTAATTTACTAAAACTCAGATTTTCGGTGATAATTAGGTCTCTAACAGGTGGCGCAGAACAGATTTTTATTTTTTTTTTTTAAGTATATTAATTTCCATTCCCTTGCTGTAAATGAACATAATAAAAATTAAGAAAAAGGACCAGTTAAAAATGCTGATGTACCACTTTTTTTTTTCATTTGTACATAATGGTGAAATGTAGAAACTGAAGGTTATTTGTATTTTATAAGAAGAAACTGAAGAAACTCTAAATAACTAATTTTATTTAGTTTTTAGCTTTATTTTCTTAATGTGTGATACTGCGAAATAGTGTGATATGTGTGAAATAGTGTGACATAACGTGATACAGTATGTGATAGTGTGTGCGCGTGATATACTACGTGTGTGTGATAGTGTGATATGGTGTGTGATACAGTATGAGATACAATATGTGATAGTGTGTGTGTGTGTGTGTGTGTGTGTGTGTGTGATAGTGTGTGTGTGATAGTGTGTGTGTGATAGTGTGTGTGTGTGATAGTGTGTGTGATAGTGTGTGTGTGATAGTGTGTGTGTGATGTGATACAGTATGTGAATGTGTGTGTGTGTGTGCGTGATAGTGTGTGTGTGATAGTGTGATAGTGTGTGACAGTGTGTGTGTGATGTGATACAGTATGTGAATGTGTGTGTGTGTGTGTAGTGTGTGTGTAGTGTGTGACATGTGTGTGTGTGATGTGATACAGTATGTGAATGTGTGGTGTGTGATAGTGTGTGTGTGATGTGAGTGTGTGTGTGTGTGATAGTGTGTGTGTGTAGTGTGTGTGTGACAGTGTGTGTGTGATGTGATACAGTATGTGAATGTGTGTGTGTGATAGTGTGTGTGTGATAGTGTGTGACAGTGTGTGTGTGATGTGATACAGTATGTGAATGTGTGTGTGTGATAGTGTGTGTGTGATAGTGTGTGACAGTGTGTGTGGGTGTGTGTGTGATACAGTATGTGATAGTTGTGATTGTGTGTGTGATAATGTGTGTGTGATAGTGTGTGTGTGATGTGATACAGTATGTGAATGTGTGTGTGTGTGTGTGATAGTGTGTGTGTGATAGTGTGTGTGACAGTGTGTGTGTGATGTGATACAGTATGTGAATGTGTGTGTGTGATAGTGTGTGTGTGATAGTGTGTGTGTGATGTGATACAGTATGTGAATGTGTGTGTGTGTGTGTGTGTGTGTGTGTGTGATAGTGTGTGTGTGATAGTGTGTGACAGTGTGTGTGTGATGTGATACAGTATGTGAATGTGTGTGTGTGTGTGTGTGTGTGTGTGTGTGATAGTGTGTGTGTGTGATGTGATACAGTATGTGAATGTGTGTGTGTGTGTGTGTGTGTGTGTGTGTGTGTGTGATAGTGTGTGTGTGATAGTGTGTGACAGTGTGTGTGTGATGTGATACAGTATGTGAATGTGTGTGTGTGTGTGTGTGTGTGTGTGTGTGTGATAGTGTGTGTGTGATGTGATACAGTATGTGAATGTGTGTGTGTGATAGTGTGTGTGTGATAGTGTGTGTGTGATAGTGTGTGACAGTGTGTGTGTGATGTGATACAGTATGTGAATGTGTGTGTGTGATAGTGTGTGTGTGATAGTGTGTGTGTGATAGTGTGTGACAGTGTGTGTGTGATGTGATACAGTATGTGAATGTGTGTGTGTGATAGTGTGTGTGTGATAGTGTGTGTGTGATGTGATACAGTATGTGAATGTGTGTGTGTGATAGTGTGTGTGTGATAGTGTGTGTGTGATGTGATACAGTATGTGAATGTGTGTGTGTGTGTGTGTGTGTGTGTGTGTGTGATAGTGTGTGTGATAGTGTGTGTGTGATAGTCTGTCCTGTCAGATCTCAGAGTCTTGTTAGTACTTGGATGGGAGACACTGGGAAAATCAGGTGCCACAGGGGGGCGCCAGTCTTAAAAATTGTTGTTGTGTCCTTAGGCAAGGCACTTCACCCTCATTGCCTAGTGTGAAAGTGGTGTGTGTGTGTGAGTGATGGTGGTGGTCGGAGGGGCTGATGGTGCAGATTGGCAGCCTTGCTTCTGTCAGTCTGCCCCAGGGCACCTGTGGCTACAGTAGTCGCTTACCACCACCGGGTGTGGAGGGAATGAATGGTGCTCTGTAAAGGGTCTTTGAGTGTCCAGAAAAAGCACTATATAAAACTGATGCATTATTATATTGTGTGTGTGTGTGTGTGATATTGTATGATAGTGTACGTGTGCGTGTGATATAATTTGATATAGTTAGTGATAGTGTGTATGTGTGTGATAATGTGAGTGTTTGACAGTGTATGTGTGATATAGTGTGTGTGTGTTAGTGTGCGTTTGGGAGTGGACAATGATTTGTTCTTATTATTGCCTGAATGTAATTGAACTCTATAATCTATGTCTCTAAATGAGGGAGTGCAGATGGCAACGGGATGTTTAACTCTAATCTGGTGTGGAACATGTTTTTATGAGCTTAATGTCTCTGTACATCATCCCTTCAAATAAAGTATAATAAAAACTCAACTATTTCAAACTATTGGCAAACTCTGGGTCATTACATTCAATGAAGGTACATTGTCTAACTTTTCTCATGGAGGATCTGTCAAACGCTTTTTCCCCATGGAGATGTTATTGCTTTTTCTGGAATGTTTCACAGTATGGCATTAACCTTTCCATTTCCATGGAAACCAAACCAGACCAAGTTACAGGTCAGATCAGTGGAGAGGCAACCCCGCTCACAGTCAGAATGCACTTTTTTTTTAGGTGTTTTTGAGCTATAAAACCGCCTGTAATTGAATAAATGTAAAGTAGATCTGTTTAATGTCATACTGTGGAACATTCTAGGCAAAGCAGTGACATATCCGTAAAAAAAAAAGCAGGTGACGGACCCCCCAACCGAAAAGTTACACAGTGCATGGACACAGCCATCGCCCTCTACAGGTGATAAGCCTCAACAAACAAAAAAACTTGACCAAAATGTGACAGTGAAAACCATTTTACTGGCAGCAGGGACAGAAAAACGCACACACAAGAACAAAACAAGTGATACAAAAATAAGGAGTTCGATGTTAGTCGTATTTCCAACACAGAACACGTGAAAATTGTTGTTAGGACTATTTCTACACACATGGAGGTTACTGCAGTTGAATGAAATATTGCATTGAGTTGATGAAAATACAAAAGGTACTGTACATTAGATTACATTTGTTTGTGTATATTTGTGGATTCAGTGCTTTCAGAAGTATTGTATTTTTTTTTTGTATAGTATTTTATTTTTTATTTTTTTATTTTACGCAGTTCTAAAAAAATATGTTCCAAAAAATAAAACTGTATTGTAAACTTTTTTTTTTTAGATTTTAAAAGAAAAAAAAAAAAAGCTACATTGTTTTCAGTTTATATTTGAGGGCGCACACACATTTTTCTTTCCCTATTAATATTATTTTACAATTACGACATTTTAGCTCAAGTTGCTGGTTCAATCTCCACTGTGACTGCCACGTACTGTTACTGGGCCACTGAGCAAGACACTTTTGTGGCTTTGTTAATCTATACGTTTGTGTGAAATTAGTTATGATCATGTCAAAATACATTCGTTTCTAAAACACAAATCCCACTTTTTCAAAATATTGGGAGTCTTCATGATAAAAATATGACAATTCTCTATCCTCAGCAAAGTGAACTAAATATAAATTCACCTCTCGAAACACGTGAAGGCTGTATGCGTCTAAAGGCAGGACATTTACGCACAATTATTCACAATCTAATTCAAATTTGACAATAAGGAAATCATAAATGTTGCAGTGATTTCATTTTAGGCAAGATCATCTACAGAGTTCATTATGTCCTGTCTCTATGGGGTCTGGTATTTCAGAAAGTATTTTAATTTTACACTTTAATTTTTGTTTTGTTTTTATGTAATGTCTGTATTTATCTCATCTTTTAGTTTGCCAGAGGAACAACAAAATCTCCCAGTTGTCGGACAAATGGTTCTCTCTTAAAAGCTTTTAATGTGGTTTTGATGTGCAAACGTAGACTGTATATGTAAATGGACATAGCTAATCCGCATTTCACATAGGAAGTGAGCATGGGGGCGCTTCTGGTTCCACTGACTCTGGCTCAAATTCTCTTTATACTGAAAAACGTCACCCTTCTCTCTAGGGGTGTGCAGAAATATCAAAATATCGTATTGTTTTATGTGATGATGATCAATACCGTGGGCTGCTGTATCCATATCGCCAAGAGAATTTTTGGCATATTTTACTAAATTATTTTGTTACAGTGCTACTGTTTTGTTGCTTGTTTAAAGGAAGGAAACTCATTTATGTTACACATTTGACATTTTCTGTTTTGATGATTATAATGTTTGTGTTTTATATTCACTTTGCACAAGAAGTGGTTCAACAAAAACTTAGTATCACAGCCAGGATTTAGATTTTTATTGAACCATATCGAATCGATTTGAAATATTTCGTATTGAATCGAAAGTGCACCGTATCGAGATGTATCGTATCATGGCCTATGTATCAAAGTATGAATCGTATCGGCAACTTCTTAATGATACCCAGCCCTACTTCTTACTGTTGCAATGAGCCTTGTCATTTTGGTCTTAAAATGTTCGTATTAACCCGCTCTATATTCCCATCTCTAATATCGAACTGGCTCTAAATTTACTCTATAACCGCTCGCTAGGGATGTAACGATATCCACATCTCTCGGTACGATATTATCACGATATGCATCTCACTGTACGATATTTTTTACAATAGGATAAAGGCTGATATAATTGTAGATGGGACACGATTCTGCTTTTAAAATGCCTTGACAAGATTTTGGTGTGAATTATTTTCATCATAATCCCAAGAATTCAAGTAAAAAACATATTTCTTCATGTTTTCTGCGCTGAAGTGAATCATGGGATATGTAGTTCTCTGTGTTTATAAGCTGATGCTACTATAAAACCATGCATTTAATCATTTAAGGATCTTGTAATTCAATATATTGTGACAGCCCACGATATTGAGACTTTCGAAGACACGATATCACGATATTTTGGTAAACCTTGATGAGCTTAATTTGACTGGAACCAAACGCTACGGGTGACGTCACACTCCCTCAGTCCACGTCTTCCTACAGTCTATGCGTGTAAATTATTCTTCTAGTATTTTACCAGCTTATTTCATTTGTTTTTCATTTGGTAATCCTTCTAGACGTATTTACTTGTTTTACCGTGAACTGACTTACTTTGAAAACAAAACAATTGGTAGAAAAATAGTCATTTGATATTTTAGCTATTACAAAATTTCATGTTCTTACAGTGTCATCGCTGTAGCAGAAGGTGCGTGAGAAGACAGAGCTACAAAACGGATAATTTCATCTTGTTTCATTTCAGTCCATTTCTACTCCACAGACAGAGTTCCCATCATGCGCCGCTCCGACTGCTGGATTCGGCGACACCTCATTTCACTACAACTGTCCACTTTGGCCTGAATTCGCCGCTGCAGTAGTGTAATGGTGCTTGAAGGTAAAAGCAGTGCAGACTAGAGGCGCTGGGAAGGGGTTTTTGACACATTGAAAAGGTAATACTTATCCCAGGACATTGGTGGATACGCGATAACGGCTCAAACTGTCCCAAACAGTCAAATATGATACAGGATAGTCTCACCAGTGCAGTATTTTACCGCAAGTCTGAAGAAGTGGCAAGAAAATGGTTCTGTAGAGTTGTCAGAATGGCCAGCAGAAGACAGAACGTTTAGAGAGAGGGTTTAGTCCAGAGAGTAGAGGGTTTAGCCCAGAGGGTTTAGTCCGGAGGGTTTAGAGAGAGCACTTAGGTCCGGAGGGCTTAGTCCGGAGGGTTTAGAGAGCGTTTAGTCTGGAAGGTTTAGTCCGGAGGGTTTAGAGAGAGCGCTTAGGTCCTGAGGGTTTAGTCCGGAGGGTTTAGTCCGGAGGGCTTAGTCCGGAGGGCTTTAGTCCGGAGGGCTTAGTCCGGAGGGCTTAGTCCGGAGGGCTTAGTCCGGAGGGCTTAGAGAGCATTTAGTCCGGAAGGTTTAGTCCGGAGGGTTTAGAGAGCGCTTAGTCCGGAGGGTTTAGTCCGGAGGGTTTAGAGAGAGCGCTTAGGTCCTGAGGGTTTAGTCCGGAGAGTTTAGTCCGGAGGGTTTAGTCCGGAGGGTTTAGAGAGAGCGCTTAGGTCCGGAGGGTGTAGAGAGTGTTTAGTCTGGAAGGTTTAGTCCGGAGGGTTTAGAGAGAGCGCGCTTAGTCCGGAGAGTTTAGTCCAGAGGGTTTATAGAGAGTGCTTAGGTCCGGAGGGTTTAGTCAGGAGGGTTTAGTCCGGAAGGTTTAGAGAGAGGGTTTAGAGAGAGGGTTTAGTCTGGAAGGTTTAGTCCGGAAGGCTTAGAGAGAGCATTTAGTCCGGAGGGCTTAGTCCGGAAGGTTTAGAGAGAGAGTTTAGTCTGCAAGGTTTAGTCCAGAGGGTTTAGTCCAGAGGGTTTAGAGAGAGCGCTTAGTCCGGAGAGTTTAGTCCGGAGAGTTTAGAGAGAGGGGAGTTTAGTCTGGGGTTTAGAGGGAGAAGGATTTAGTACGGGGTTTAGAGAGGGGGATTCAGTCCAGAGGGTTTAGAGCGGAAGTTTAGTCTGACGGTTTAGCCGATGGCCAAGTGCCCTCTAAAAGATTTGATAGTTGCACTGTGTAAAAATAAATGCATTTTCTGTAAACAGCCTCAACTGTGATTTCATTTTGCAGTGAAAGTTATAACAACATTTTATATCAAAAATCTTAAAAATTAAATCAAGGAGAATTTCAGCATTTTGGAGATTTGAAACCATCTGCCAAGAAGCGTTAGTAGAAACAAGTCAGGACTGCACCTTTGCATTTTAAATCATTGCAATAACAGAATTACTACTAGCAATATATTAGTTTCTGGTTTTGTTCTAGCATTTCTGAATTCTAGCTACAATGGTTCAAAATGTTCTTGTGTTTTCTGCCATTGAATTTGTCCATCACTGTACATTTCATTAATCAGTTGTATTTGCAGATATAAGAACAGACGTGTTTTATGTGCTGCCCTATATTTTAAAGGTCCTATATTACACAAAATTGATTCTTGCCATGTTATAATGTTGTTACCTCCTCAAAAACAGATCTGGAGTTGTGTTTTGTTTCATTCTCTTATGTTTAGGCTACATCCAGACTGCAGCCTCAAGTGACCCAAATCTGAATTTTTTTGCCGCTATGTGACCTGTATCTGATCTTTTGACACAGATCCGACTTTTTTCAAATGTGACCCAGACCATATGTGCTCCTAAAAGTGATACATATCCGATCTTTTGACATGCGACTTCAATCTGAACGGTCAGGTCACATTCATCCCACCTACACGTCAAACTATCTAGTCTAGTCAGTGGAGGGAAAGTGAGGTTAGGGAGTTCATTCATATTTGGGGGATCACTGTATTCAGGCCAAATTGGAAACATCTGATCAGAACTAGGCGGTTTTTGAAATGGATTGTCAAAGAAATGTCTGAACGTGGCTACAGGAGGTCCTTGCTCCAATGTCAACGAAAAATAAAGAGCCTCAAACAAAGCGGCCCTGGACGTGTAACCTGTCCATTTTACGAACAACTGGACCGTATTTTGGGAGGCAAGCCCAGCGTTTCGGCGACTTCTGGAAACACTGAGCACACTCGCTGCGTGTGACGTCGTCGTGTCCTCTAATGCACATGCGGGACACTTTTGGGGGGTTTAAAGTTCACACTGGAAATCACATACAAGTCACATTTAAGTCCAGCGACCATACCTATCGGCAATTCTACAGCTGAAATCATTGAAATGGAGTGTTTTCATTTTAAGAGAAGAACACAGCCTAAATATGCAGGTTTGTGTGGTAAACATGTGAATAAAACAAAACTCCAGGTATGTTTGCGATGACAAAACAACATTCTAACAAATCAGATCACGTATGGACCCTTTAAGAACAAAATAGTTCAATTGATTCGACTATGCAACATTTTAGGACCAAAAATATCCCCCGAAAACGATAATTAGTCCCATTATTTCCTTTCTCCTCAGCGGCAGCCACAGTGAAAGTCTGCATTGGGGTCCCGCAGTAGTTTTTCCGGTCGATGTGCAGACAGTCGATGTGGTACCAGGCGTCGCACACGTCGCACTGAATCCACTGCACCGTGTCCTGCTGGGGCAGTTTGCAGCGAGGGGCGGCACACGGCTCTACTGCCCCCACCACCACCTCCTCTTCCGCCTCGTCCTCGTCGTCGTCGTCTTCGGAGGAGGAAGAGGAGGAGCCCGAGGAGGAAGAGGCCGAGGAGGTGGAGCTGGAGGAGGAGGAGGAAGGAGAGGGCAGGGAGGGACGAGGGGGCAGGGGGTGTTTACGGGGCCGGCCACGTCTTTTACTGCAACAGAAGGAAACAAAAATATGGGATAAAAGGTGTTCGAAGTGGAAAGTACGCAGATTGACTTGTGTTGTTGAACTTTATAGACTCTATTCCAGTGGTGAAATGTAAGAAAAAAAATTGTAAAGTACTGTACATTTAGTATAAATGTTAGGTATATCTGTACATTAAATGGATACTTTTTAATTTTACTTTTACTACATCAGAAAGCAAGTATCTGTACTTTCTACTAGAGACCGACCGATATATCGGTTGATATGGGCACCTGGAGGCATATCGGCTATCGGCCGATATGCTTGCTGATAGGGGCCGATATTTCACGTGGGCATGTGATACATCGTAAAAAATCTTAGACTCTCTACATTCTGTTCATTTAATCCAATTTACAGACAGATAAATGTCCTAATATGTGGCTCCGCATCAGTATTTATCTACGGAGTCATTTGTGTGTGTGTGTCCGTACTGTCCCTGAACACACCACAGAGTCGCGTCATTCACGTGTGTTTGTTTACAACCGCAGCAGTGCTCAACACTGAGATTATATTCTTTTTACGGACAATCGGTTTGAGTCTGGATTAAAAGGACATTTATTAGTGCAGATTTGTGATGTGAGGAGGAGCCTGTGTGAGCGGTGAGTGTTGGAAATATGTCGACTCTGAAGCTAGTTTTTGTCATTTGTTATGGGTTAGCTGCTGTAGCTCCCGCACATAAACAGGCTGTTTTCTATTGGCATATTGTAAAGTGACTATATTGGCCGTATATTTGCTACTGGACCTGCACTGATATGTAAATTAGCTGTGAATAGACGTGTGAATTATGACATTTGCGCATATAATTAATTACCGCGGCGCGCACGTATTTACAGCTAAAGGCTAATAGCGATTGTTTCTTTACTAGTTATGGGTCAGTCGCGAACGAAATGACTCTTAAAGCCGACTCTTTGAAGGGAACGATGGGGGCCTGATCCTTACTGGGAGCCGTGTTTTCTCTTTCTCTCATTTTTTTTCTCTTCACGCCACGTGCAGACTCGTGGTTTGACAGCGGCAGCGGCTGAAAACGAAACTTTGAGAAATTTGCATAGGATAAAAAAGGAGCATATTTGGCTGTAGTTTAGCATAAAATAAATAAGTCCCGGTTTAGTCCTTTTTCAGTCCTGGTTTAGACCTGTTTCAGTCCTGATTCAGTCCTGCTTTAGACGTGCTTTAGACCTGCTTGCAACAAAACAATCTGAAGAGCCACTTGGGAGCCAAAAGAACCAGCAGGTTTTAGTGAGCCGAGCCAAAAGAGCCGGTTCTCTAAAAAGAACTGGAAAACCCATCACTAGTGTCTAGAATGTGATGCAAAAATGCCATTAAACCAACCTACTGTCTGTAAATATGATGTAAAGAGGCAGAATAACAATAAATGTTGCCTAAATAAACCCAATTTAAAATCCACCAGAGCCAAACCTAAGTTTTTTAAACAATTCAACATTTACAGTGAATTTTTACATCACTAAATATATTGGCGATTATATCGGCTATCGGCAGCTCCAACTCCCATTATATCAGTTTCATATCGGCCACAGCAAAATCCATATCGGTCGGGCTCTACTTTCTACTCCACTAAATTTTTTTTTAAACAGGACTGAAAAGTATATTTTTTATCATAGTGTGAGACCTGCTGAAAAGGCTGAGGGCAATTTATTTTTAACACATTTGTAGAAGCAAACAAAAATATTAAATTAAAAATAGCAGAAATCTTTAATAAGTGACTCTGATGAAGACAAGTCATTAGATTTATTAGACTTTGATTTTTTTTTCATGTGATACTTTTACTTGTGTATTTTTTTGCTCTGGTATCTGTACTTTTACTTAGAATTAAAAAGTAGTCGAAGTACTCTTTTTAATCTGTTGTTATTGATATTGTATGTTTAGGCAATATGTAATGAGGGTTGTGCAATATATATTTATAGTTTCCTGAACGGGACTGCTCGCTCCAGCTCTGGAAGTAAATTTTCCATTGATTTTTCCCATAGACTTTTCAATAAATTCAAATATTAATAGTGCAAAGACATCGCAGAGACTAATCAACTATGTGGAAACTAGAATCCATAACGCAGTAGTCCAAAAAGCAAGATTAAGCGAAATGTTTATTAAGTTTTATAATGTTTTATTAAATAAAATTCAAAGGTATAGTGGTCATTATTTACCACATAACAGATCAGCCCTGAGAAAGCTTTCAAACTTCTATGAGTCTATGGTAAAGTTGAGTCATTGTTGAGTCTCCATGCACACACAAACAACATAATTGCTCGTTTTAGTGAACTGGGTCAAAATTAACATCACAACTTTCCATTGCTTCACTAAATTCCATTGGGATTTTTGATACCACAGCAACACACAAGTGAAACATGACTCAGTTATTGCTCTACGACTGCGTCTGTGTAAACTCTGGCCCACTCTCTGAACAGGCTTACCCGGTCTGGTGGTGAAACCGGTTGTACTGCACTCTTCCCCGCTCCCCGTTCCTGATCCGCACCGAAGGAGAGGCCAGGCTGTAGTTCTCTCCACCCACCACTAGAGGGGAGAAGACCGGGGAGCTGTTGGCCCTCCTCCTCCCTCTGGCTGCCTGCGGTGAGCGGTGGACTGTTTTCTGTTGTCTGATTGTGGTGATATTTCCATTCATGACTGATTGTACGTGATAGGTCGTCCCCACTTCCTGTTTGAGCGACGCGGGGCTGTGATTGGTCGGGAGCAGGTGATGTCGGCTGTTCGTCATGGCGCCGTGGAAACTGCCGATGGTCCTGATGCCGACGGGGAAAGGTTTGGCCTCCAGGGGGCGTCTGATTTCAGTGTGGACTTTAGTTTGAGGAGGTAAAGAAGGAGGAGAGCTGAACCCCTCTGACTCGGATTTATAAAGACGGCGCCTTTTCTTCGCCCGTGACCTCTGTCCGTCATCTGCGACTGCTCCCAGGGCTGAAATTAAAACATAACCACTTTACTTAATCCAAATATCCCATTTATAAAAGAAACTATGGTGCCAGTGGTCTCTAGTAGTCCAATTAAAAAAAAAAAAACAAGAAAAACAGATAAACATGACTTAATTTTGCTTCTTGGAATAAAAAAATGTATTGCTTTAAACCTATCTCCATGGAGACAAGCAGGTGGACCCTCCTGGTTTAGTTTAGTCCTGGGTCCAGTCAGTGTCCGTCAGTGTCCTGGTCAGTGTCCTGGTCAGTGTCCTGGTCAGTGTCCTGGTCAGTGTCCTGGTCAGTGTCCTGGTCAGTGTCCTGGTGATCGGCTCTGCAGTTTGCGGCGTGTATATATTTATAATCCACTAATGACCCGGTGTAGTTTCAGTCTTGGTTTAGTCCTGGTTTAGTCCTGGTTTAGTCCTGGTTTAGTCCTGGTTTAGTCCTGGTCTATTGGGCTGTCGGACTAATGGACAGACCCCGATTTATCACGGGCAGGGGCGGGTAACGGGTGGAATGTCAACGGGTCTGGGCGGGTTCGGATTTAACTTTGATATAATCACGGGTTAACGGGCGAGTGTGGTGCTGGTCTCCAAAAAATTGACCCATGCAAGACTCTAAAGCTGCACTATGTAACATTTCTGGTGGTGAGGCTCAAAGTTCTTTTCGTTAAAATAGTTAATTACTATGGCATTGGCAACGGTCCTAATTTAGAATCATTCTGAAACTCTTGGGTGCTTCAAAATAACAGCACAAATGGGTTTATCTCTCAGCCAAAGAATTTAAATAGAGTAATTAGGAATGCATTAGTTTGTGCAGTTGTGTCGCCCTCACCTCCACAGCCCCTGGGTTCATCTGAGCTGTCGTCCTCCAGCAGCACCGTGTGGGCAGACTTCCTCCTGCTCCGAGACGCCGAGGGGAGGGGCCTGTTCGAGATGGGGGCGGACGGGGCAGACGGAGCGGAGGAGAATGCCGGAGGGGTGGAGGGGGGGAGCAGAGAGGAGAAGCCCACCGCGAGGGGAGGAGAGGCGGACGAACCCGGGTCTGAAGTGGTGCCCTCCAAACTCTGGCTCCTCTTGAAGGTCCAGGCGCTGCCCTTCATTTTGCTGAGGCTGCCGATGGAGTTCAGGATCACTGTGGCGCGGTTCAGAGACAGTTTGGACAGGTCCAGGTTGGCAGGTGCTTTTCGGTCCTGGTTTGTCCTGATGCGGGTTTGAAAGTCCGAGGAAAAAGTCCCACCCTGTAAGGAAAAGAATTTGCATATTACAGGGTTCCTATTTTTTCACTGACAAAATTTCAAAATTTTTTTCTTGTCCTAAAGTGAATTTTCCATGACTTTATGGCACCTACATGTGTAGAATTGATCATACTTTTAAAGCTAAATATGAAATGTTAATTCTTTCCACTCACCTTATGGTTTGGTTTTATAGTTTTTCTACATTCAAAATACTGTCAGGGCATTTATTGTCGTCTCTTTTAAACAAAAAGGCGCATACATTCAGAAATAATCCTAAAACAGTGTAATGAGAACTTAACAGAAATGCTGTAGTTGTGCGAAAGAGCTACTAAAATTCCATGACTTTTCCAGGCCATTTTCAATTCTGAGGACTTTTCCAGAATTTCCATGATTGTGGAAACTCTGATATTAAGATTAGGCAAAGGTATTTGTGGGTTTATATTCCTGTTATAGGCAACATTGAGGACTTTTTCATCCTGAAACTGATTGATACTGATGCTCAAATATACTGTTGTTTTGTTGTTTTAATTGCAAATTCCTATCAAATGTGTTGGGATGCACCGATGCAGCTTTTTCAATTCCAATACCAATTTCAAGACCGATTTTTATAGCTTTAAGTAACTGCAAATACTCAAAATCAAGTTGATTTTGAGTATTTGCAGAGACTGTACGTAGCCACTATAACTACAGAACAGAACAGCCTTGTATGAATAAAAATCCAAACATTGAGACATTCTGAACATTCAACTAGGATATCGACTGAAATGATATTAAGAAGCGCATATCAGATCCAGCAGCTTTAGTATCGGTACAGATATCCGATACCAGTTTTGGATCAGTGCATCCCCAACTAACTTTGAGGAAAAAATACTCTTCTGCATTTTAACATAAAATGCTAAATACTATCTTTAGTTTGAGTACAGTTTGATTTAGTATTAACGTAAAAATTCAAACCACAATATTTCTATTACTGGGCAGAAATTACCTTAGGAATAGTTATAGCGTCAAAATCCAGTGGGCGAACCTTGACCTTCTGAAACAGGAAGTAGAACTCGGGGCTTCCTGGAGCCGTCTGGCCTCCAAAGGTCAAAGTGTCACCGTCTGAGAGCTCCCACTGAACCCCTGACTGCAGCCGCACCTCGTTCACCCATGTGCCTGCAACAAGAGAATGACAAAAGTAAAAATCAATCTCTCAATATTATTTGATCTATCACCATAATTAAGAGACTATATTTTGGTAATGTCTTTAAATATATTAGTCCAGGTTTTAAAAGGTGCACTATGCAACTTTTCTGTTGGAGGGTCAAACGCTTTTCTCTATAGACACATCATTGCTCTGCCTAAAATGTTCCACAGTATGACATTAAACAGCTCTACCTTGCATGTATTTAATTGCAGGTTGTTTTATAGCTCAAAAACACCTAGAAAAACTGACATTCTGACTGTGAGCTGGGTCTCCTCTCCACAGATCTGACCTGTAACTTGGTCTGGTTTGGTCTCCTTGAAGACAGAAAAGGTTTAATGTCATACTGTGGAACATTCCAGACAACGCAACATCAACAACATCTCCATTAAGGCTGTGCAATTAATTGAATTTTGATCACGATTTTGATTTGTGTGTCAAACTCATAAGCTGTATCATTTCAATTTGATTAACAAAGTTAATTTTTTTTTATATTTAATATAAGTAAGTATATTTATTTTATTTTTAAATATAGAGATTGTAGAACAGCTGGATAAATAGTTTATTTTGGATAAATTTATGTTTTTCTATGGCTTATTTTCATGTTCAGAGAATATTTTATTATTTTATTTTTTCATTTTATGTTTTATACGTCACAAAACTGCTCAAAGGAACATATTTGGAACCGATATTTATTTTCAATTTAAAAGTTTTGCGTAAATTATCAATAACAAAGTGGGGGAGAAATGCTCAATAAGTTCATTGTGTAAAAATAATCTTTTAAATAATCGTGATTTCAATATTGACCAAAAATAATCGTGACAATGATTTTTTTTTTCCCCATAATCGAGCAGCTCTAATGTCCGTGGAGAAAAGCAGGCGGTAGACCTTCCACCAGAAAAGTTACACAAAGCACTTTTAAATAAAAACTAAAAAATGAAGCATCATTAAAATAGAGCCATTTGTAGAGTATAAGAGCGTTAACAGCTTAAGTACGGTGTAAAATAGTCAGTGCAATGGACCCAGCGCTGAAGAGCTGGGGGCCCATGAGGCAATCAAACTCCACGCATGCACAGGATGAGGAATGCTCAGTGAATACTAAAACTACCTTAAATGGCAAAAATGAAAAGTGTGTAACCGAGTGTGAAATTACTTGAAAAATTAGGTGGGTAAGAGTACAGTTTAAATCCTGAGCTTGTCAGTCACAGCGGATCGGCCCGAGGGAAACTTTTCCTCTAATCTCCAACCGCACAGCCAGGTTTAATCACAGCCTGAGTTTAGTTGATAATATTGTAAAACTGGTAGTGTGTGATTAGTTTTTTTTTTTTTTTTTTTTTTAAAGTGTGTTATGAAATTGAAGTTGCAGTGAAATCACGGATGTTTTTTTTTCTGAGCTGATATTTGATTTTTGTGTGGGTGAGGTGGGTAACTTTTCTGGTGGAGTGTCCGTCAAATGCTTTTATCTGTTGAGATGTTATTGCTTTGTCTGGAATGTTTCACAGTATGGCATTAAATCAGATCAAACCAGACCAAGCTACAGGTCAGATCTGTGGAGAGGCGACCCCGCTCACAGTCAAAATGCTCGTTTCTCTAAGCATTTTTGAGCTATAAATCCACCTGTAATGGCATAAATGTAAGGTAGAGCTGTTTAATGTCATACTGTGGAACTTTCCAGGCAAAGTAATGACATATCCATAGAAACAAGCAGGTGATGGACCTCCAATCAAAAAGTTACACAGTGCACCTTTAAGATTTGCAAGTTCATAGCAACACATAATTTGTCGACAATAACTACTAGGGGTGTAACGATATCCAAGCCTCGGTATGAACCTCACGGTACGAATCCGATATTTATTGCGATATCATAAGAAAGCTCACGATTAGGGAAGTAACAATATCCAAATCTCTCTGTACGATATTTTCACGATATACATCTCAGGGTATGATATTTATTATGATATTTTGTGGAGGCAAATAAAAATGTTAAAACTTTATCCTTTTAAAATGCCTTGACAAGACTTAATCCAAAGAACTAAGACTTAAAAGTGCTTAGAACTGTTATTTCTTCTTGTAGTTTACACTAAAACAGAGCAAAGGATCATGGTCTATGTAGTCCCTTCTCTTTTTTTAGCTACTGCTGCACCGTAACTCTTCATTTAAGCAGAGGCTTGTAATTCGATATATTGTGATGTTCCACGAAGTTATTGTGAGAACTTTGACGATATGATATCACGATATTTCGGTTATTGTTACATCCTTAATTACTACAATTTTTTATTATTTTTTTCTCTACTCATTGGTCTGTTCAAAAAGAAATTTGATACAAAATCGACCGGGGCAGTGCAGAAAGAACATTGGAGTTAAATATCTGCCAAATAATAAAAATCACTAATGTTAAATGGCTTGTGGTTTATGGTGTAGCTGGAAAAATGTTGGAGGATAATGGACAAATTAGTCGCCTATACAAACCAGATCTAGGCCTTCTCTTTTTAAATGGGTGCAGGCAATTTCAGAGTTGTTAAAATGTTTTCAATTCTGTGGTAGTGGGATTAATGGCATGTACCAGATTTTAATTTATTCTTGTCACGATTAGTACCCTTACCATTGCATTGTATAGTGCAATGTATGGTACATTTAAAAAAAAACATGTAAAATCTAATCTATTCTCTGGTAATAACTTTGGAAATAATGAGACCATTTCCACAAGATCAGAAGAGATAAGAGTTCGGAAAGTGAAAATCTCGCCTCGTCTTGTTCTAGTGGACCCTAATATATCCATTTCTGACTCACTTTCCAATTTTGGCCTCACATTTTTTTATTTATTTGATTTCATAGTTTTGCTTCCATTCTACTAGCACTGCTTTTTGAAACTGTAAGAGATGTAACTCACAAACACACAATCCTTTTTTGTCCAATCCAAATATAAACACTTCTCACAAGATCATTTTTCTCATGTGTGCACGAGCTTGTGGCATGAAATCGTGTACCATCCATAGTAATTACTAACATAGAAGCTACAGACAGGCACATTGTTCCTAAAAATCATGTGAAACCAATTGTCACTATCCCAGTGTCTTGATTTTTTGGTGCATTTAAGAGCTACAAATACGAAATTAGTAGCGGCACAGATTGGAGAACTACAGTATATGGCGCAATATCCAAGTGGCAGAAAGACTAAGTGGGCGGGGCCACACTTCCCGCTCAAACATGTCATCATTAATTCATTCCTGATCATGCAGGAATGACAATAAATATTTTTATTTAAAGGTGCACTGTGTAACTTTTCTAGTAGAGGGTTCACTGCTTGCCTTTCTCCATGGAAATGTTCTTGCTTTGCCTTGAATGTTATAAAGTATGTAAACAAACTTGGCAATTACAACGAAAATGAGTTACTAGTGAAAAAAACTGAGAAGTAAGCCTGCACATAGTAAGAATACATGGTTTTAAAGGTGCTTTTGAGTTATAAAATGCCTGAATACATGCAAGAATTTGAATCTATTTAGTATTTATTGTTATTTATTTAGTATTATTTTATTAATTGTTTATGGAACAAAGCCATTCTGCACTGGAGCACTTTATTTTGTTATTGTGTTTTTATATGTGTTTATTGTACATAATGTGGATGAATGAAATGTGAAATGTGAGACCAGCCTCTCAAATCTGCAAAACAAATTTACCTACGGGTATGAATAAAGCAACCTAACCTAAGGCAGATAAGTGTAATACCATACTGCAGAATGAAAAGAAATTACAAGCAGGTATCCCTCCCTCCACATTAGGAGTTACAGAGTACAGCTTTAAGTCATGTTGGAAACTTTTTAATGCTCCCTTGCCTTTCCCTGTTGCTCTCATATCTCTGGTTTCACTTGTGACAGTGGAAATGCCTGTTTGTGGTGGAGTCTGCAGGTGTCTGTCCTGGTATTTGTGTCTCGAACATTTGAAAGCTCTGAATGCACCTGCAGGACTCACATTCGTACCACTGATCCATAATCACACCTGAACATGTTTGGGGACAGAGGTAAATGGCGGTTTGAGAAGCAGAAGGCACTTTTTAGAGCAATGGCAGAAATTTTATCTGAGCTGTGTGTGTACATATTTCCTGAGTTGAATACTGAACAGTGAATACAGGCAAAAGTCAACTGCAGATGAAGGCAGTTTTGGCAACATAAGCCGACTACATTTTCAGTAGCTGTATCACACCACAGATAAGGACTCTGTAAATTAATCAAATTTTAATTAAAAGATTCAGTCATGGGTGACATATTACAAGAAATGTGAAAACTATTCACCCTCAAAGAATGATAAATATTTCAAAAAGTTACATTTTTGTCATAAAAGTTTGTGACAATTTTCAGTAGAGTTTAGTCTTGGTTAAGTTATAATTTTGTCGGTGTGTGAATTTGAATGGAAACTATTTTAGCTTGAAGTTAACTGAATTAACCAGTATATTAAAATATTGCTGTAATTTTTTGTAGGGCTGGGCAATCTTCTTCCATCTTATCAAAAGCAGGCTTAAAGAGTACAATATATAAAAGCATATGCAGATCAGCGGCATAAACACATGCGATGTCCATGCTTTAAATGAGGTCTTAATTTTCACTTGTAAACGGTAAGAAAATAGTTGTTTACTTTCATAACTTGGGTTATAAAGATGAGAAGCAGAAGAGGAGAGAAAGAGGAGAAAAGGTGAGGTGAAGAAGGGGGAGCAGGGGGAGACGGCACCACACACGTAGAGGGACAGACGCTGGAGTTTGACTCAAATTGTGCAGATTTGAGTCAAAACTTGTGAAACATGAGGAGAAATAGAGACGCACTCAACCTTTCCCTACATAACAGCATAAATCTTTGTCAGTTTCACACACTCTTACTGCCACGCGACTGGCTGCTGACCTGAGATTAAAATGCTCTTGCCTTAAAATCAAGATCGACCAAAGTATAGATCACGATCTAACAATCTTTCGATTTTTGATACAGCCCTAATTTTTTGGTCACACTGCACAGACCTATTTCTGGGTCAGATGATATCACAACACTATATAAGCAAACGATATTGAATACAGATGAGGGAAGCAAAAAATTATTGTTGAAATACAGCTTTTGATAATGTACTGAGATTTAGGGTCTAGTCTATAACAGAAATTATCAGGTTTAACAGAGAACTCATTTCATATAAAATATGCCACGTTATCAATAGGGTACCGGTAAACTGGCTTTTCTCACTCCTCAGCTTGGAGTATGACAGTCACATCTAGAATCGTAAAACCACCAAGCACCACCACACGAAACCTTTCATTCCATCAATCTCACGCTATATTGTGCACTGGAGTTTCTATACATGGTAAGTGGTCACATTTTTCTATAGCGCTTTTCCACCTTCAAGGCACTCAAGTGTACGCAGACACTGTGGGCAAGGTGGGTTAAGTGTCTTGCCCAAGGACACAACGACAGCATTCATCTGTGGGAGCTGGAATCACACCAGCAAACCTGTGGGTCAGTGGATCTGACTGCTCAACCTGTGATGTTTATGTTGAGAGCGGGACTCGAACCGCCAACCTTTAGATCAGTGGGCGAATGCTCTACCAACTGAGCTACTGCCGCCCAATCACATCATATATACAAATTTGTTTACTAATATTGTCAATTATAGCCATTAAATTTTCTTGTTTTTTTATGATATTTATGACAAAATTATCCTACAGAAACATTAGTAAGGATTAAAAATGTACTACAAAAACAAGAGGTAAGATTAAACACTCAACATATCAGCATTTCAGTTCAATGCAGCTAAAATCTGGAACAGTCTTCATGAACATGTGAGACAGACCTCAACTTTGATTATATATGACTGAAATGTTTTTATTATGCACTACTCTCTTTTAAAGATGCACTGCGTAACTTTTCTGATGGATCCACACATGATCGTCCCCATGGAGATGTAATTGATTTGCCTGGCAGGACAGACGGCATGTCATGATAGATAAATATACAGCATTTATTGAATGAATATTGGCATTTTATTGCTCAAAATCTGTATTCTTATTAAAAATGGGGTCGCATCTCCACAGATCTGATCAGTAACTTGGCCTGGTGCTGTCACCGGCTTGCATCTTTAGAGATATACATGTTTTATGCCATATTGTGGGAGAATACAGGCAAAATAACAACATCACCATGAAAACAGAGCAAGTTACACCAGAAAAGTTCCACAAAGCACCTTTAATAGTACTTTTATGATGGTGTTCTTTAATTTGTTTGTATTGTGAGTTTAATGTCTCTTTTTAAAATTTCTTTGTGTACGAATTGTGCTGAACAAATAACCTTGACGCGCCTTTATAGTCAAATAATATTCGATTTCCCCATTCTTTTAAACCTCCATCCCTGTCCTTGCTTGAGAAACACTGCTTTCTGTGTACTAGTAGGTGTCCAGTTCTCACCGTGACTGCTCCTGTCTCTGATGTGGACCCTCCAGCCTTCGTCGCCCGCCGTGTCCCTCTCGGCCTCTAGCTCGGCGTGGATCCTGGACACGGAGGCGGAGTCCAGCGTGACATCGCACAGCTCCGGAGCACGTCCCAACCGGAAAATGCACGGATTCAAGGCCGGTCTGAACGTATACAGGTCCCGCGCAGAATCCCCCACAGAGGAGCCGATACGGAGGAGTTGGAAGCAAGGTTGCACCCCAGACAACATGGCTGAAATACTCGTCCAATAACGTCCTTGGACAGCTCAAAATTTACAAGCAATCCTCCATTTTGCCCTGACTTTAAATCTTATATGTTAACAATTACAATACATGGATTTGTGTAAAAATCAAGCTAAAATGAGCATCAGAAATCAAGTTGTGAGCTCAAAACATGAAGGTTACATGTACAAATAACAGGTGTTCCTATCAAGTATGGAAATCTGCAGAGCTGCGTCCCTGCTGTGAATACATGAATGGCTAATGAGGATTCAGACCACTACTCCAGCTGGTGAAGAGTGGAAATGAGACGCTACAGACCTAAACTACACAGATTAAATCCCCCACGGTGAGGAGACGGTGAACCAAAGACTAAAAAAGGGAAAAGTTTTGTCGAGCTTCTGTGTGTTATGTTCCAAATGTGCAATAACTTCAAAGTAGTGTGGTTTGTTGTGTAGTTAAAGTAGTGATTGTCGTCTTATGTTTTAAGATGTTACGACTTCAAGAATTAGAGTAAAAAGTGTCTAGAATATAACTGTGCTGATTATAAGTTAAATCAAGGGGCTTAAAAGGAGGAAAGCTTGAAGAGATGCAACGGCAAGGAGGCTGCGTCATCTGTGAAAACAATACCAGAGTTAGTAAAGCTCTTGTATTACGCAAAATTGACAAAATTGTGAGTTTTAAGCCACGTTAAAATGTTGTTACCTCCAAAAACATACTGTGCAGCTGTGTTTTCATTCACACATGTTTGAGTAATCCTGCATTATTAGTCTGTCTGCATCTCCAAAGCTCAAAACGCGCCGTTCGACCTTGTGATGTCATGATAGTAGAAGCAGTATTTTCAATTCAAGGGCAGTAATCATCCAAATAATTCTAGTGAAGGTGTACAGAGTTTAAAAAACACAGTGGAGCACTTCTTGTTCCTGTTACTACATCACATGTGGAACAGTGTGTTTTCTATTTGAAAGTGGAACTAAATATGCAGGATTTGCGTGTTAAACATGTGTGAATGCAACAAAACAACTCACAACATAATAACACGGATCAGAAAATAAATAATATTGGCACACTTTAAGACTAAAAGCATTTACATTTATTTACCTAAACGTCCATGTGAATAAAAAGCAATTATAGCGTGAGAAATGCCTTGGATTACAACACATTTAAAAGAATATTACAGCATATTCAGAAGACAATTGAAACAGGCTACAATGCAGAACCACGTCAATGCTGGTATAAGCGGATATGCCCAGTGACAGTACGACAATAATCTACTGACAGATAGGCTTATATTTGACACAATATTCATTTAATTCTCATCACAGACGAAGTTAGGTTTTAACAAATGATGTGTTTGCTTCTGAGTCCAGTTTAAAAAAGCAGGTTAAATTGTGTTATTGCCGTGAGAAAAGTGAACCGCATGCGCCTAATGACAAACGGAGCCACACAAAGCCCCGAGGCTGCGCAGGACCGACGCACGTCACGTACAGCCCACGGTACACCCACACCACAAACTAATACTTTTACTTTTATCAACACATCCACTACAGCAGCCAGTATATGCATCTATAATGAGTTTGGATGTACAAAAACACGCCAAAGTCCCGTTGTTTACCCCGCAGATGCACACTGAGCCTCGCTGTCGATAATTACCAGTTGTTGCACTGAATGAAACTCCCGGACGGTTCTTACTTGAGTTTCGGGCACAGCTCCGGTTTTGGTTTTACTGCGCAAAAGTCACCGTAGAAATCCAACCAGAGGAGATCAGTCCTCAGCTTCGGATAAAGTCGGTCCTTTCTGCAGTATTTTCGGCCGTTCTGGAGCAGATTTGAGGCTTGCTCCGCTCGGGAGGAAGTCCTTTGAAATTTGGCGCGCCACACGACTCTGCGCAGCGGCTTCCGTGCTCTGCGTGCTGCGTCACTTCCGGCCCCGCCCGGTCTGGCTCGCGGCCAGGGCGCCTTCTGCAGCTGTTTGTGCAGAGATGTGGGTCAGTGGGGTGTGGAGTGCACCGCTCAAGTGTCTTATATAACATACAAGCAGTGTTGGGAAGGTTACTTTTAAAATGTATTCCCCTACAGATTACAGATTACATACCCCAAAATGTAGTTTGGAACATAATCCATTAAATTACTTAAAGTGAGTAATGTAATCTGAATACTTTGGATTACTTGATTTGCTGTAGAGAAGCAAAGACTAGAAAATCTTCACTTAAGTCTGTTAAAAGACAATAAAAAAAAAAAAACAGTCTTTACTCAAACATATTAAAAATATTATTGATAGAAGAGGAGGAGACACGTCCACGCAGCATGGTTTAGTCCTGTTAAATCCTGGTTTAGTCCTGGTTTAGACCTAGTTTAGAACTGGTTTTAGACCTGGTTTAGACTTGGTTTAGATCTGGTTTGGATCTGGTATAGTCCTGGTTTAGACCTAGTTTAGTCCTGGTTTAGTCCTGATTTTAGTCCTGCTTTAGTTCTGCTTTAGTCCTGGTTTAGTTATGGTTTAGTCCTGGTTTAGACCTAGTTTAGACCAGGTTTAGAACTGGTTTAGACCTGGTTTTAGACCTGGTTTAGTGTCCGGCAATGAGTGGAATGATTGGAAAAAAAAAAAAGAAAGGGATATAGCCCAAATTGTGAAAACAGGAAAATACCGCTGTGTAATCCATATATTTCAATAAAGTAACTGTAATCCAATTACCACTCACTGAAACAGTAACTGTAACTGAATACAGTTACTCATAATTTGTACTCTGATTACATAACTCCGGTACATGTAATCTGTTACTCCCCAACACTGCATACAAGTTACTTAAAATGATAATATCAAGAAGAACCGCGAGTTCTTTTGGTTTCCTGAGCACAAAAACTACAGTGACTGCAGACCTGTAGAGCTGCAGGATTTATAAACAGACACTGTACAGGATTTATTTTGGGAATGTGTGACCGTTTGTGGAGTTGAGTCACTCACCGCTGACATTAAGACTCTTCAAGTGCATTGGTTTATGGACAGGTTGCACTGGTTTTGACAGTAACTGCAACATCCACAAAGGGCAGTCTGACTGTCTGTCCCACTAACATAAAAACACTGGGTCACTTTGTTGAAAATGTTTTTTTTATTTTGGATTCTTCATTCATTACAGAAAATGAGAAGCTTTAGAAAAGTGTGAAAGATGAACCATAGACTGTATGAGATGGACATGTACACATAAACAGCATTAGTTTGACTATCATGATTTCATTTTGAAAGTGAAAGTTTGAGATAAGAAAACACAGTTGAACAAAGCTGAATGGAAGTTGCATATACTATATAACGACTAGTTACATATTTGTTCATGCCAATGAAACCACAAGGGCAATATTTAAAATCAATACAGTAAAAGCATGTTTTCTATGCACAGATTGGAATGAGCAATGGTTCAACACAAACTCATGACATTTGTACAGAAAGATGCCGTGTATATTTATACATCATTTTGTCGCTGTCCCACAGGCATTCTACTGGCTGCATGCAGTGGTTATAAACACTACTGAGCATATACGGAGACAGGAGGAGGCTACAACAGCAGAGGAAGAAAACATGTGTTAGATAAAAACTATTCTAAATACTGAAGCATTAAAGGGATGATTCTGCTCAAAGAAAATATTTGGCTTTCAAAATCAGCTAATCCGCTTAATTTACAATCTCTATGTGTAACTACAGTTTTGTTCAACACACACAAATTCATGTTTTTCCTAGCTAGTTTTATTTCTACATTTTTGTTTCCCAAACTACAAATGTGCTAAAAATAAACCCTCAGCCTTTTCAGGAAATCTCACACAATAATAAAAAAACACTTTTACTTTTCAGTCCTGTTCAAAAATGCAGTGAAATTGAAAGTACAGACACCTGATCTCAAATGTAGTGAAGTAAAAGTATAAAGTACCCCGTTTAAAATGTATTCAAGTTAACATTTTCATTTTAAGGTACATTGTGTGGAGGATTCATAAAATGCTTTTTTTCCATGGAGATGTTATTGCTTTGTCTGTAAAGTTGTAAAGTTGAGCAGTTTAATGTCATATTTTGGAAAATTTCAGGCAGAGCAATGACATTTCCATAAAAACGTAGAGACCTCCAACCAAAAAGTTACATCTTGCACCTTTATGTACAGTACTTTATTACTTTTACGACTACTTTCACCACCGATGTTCAAAATTTTTCGAGCTGAGATTACCAAACCCAGTGATTTTAATTACAGAGAGCAATTATCCTCTTCTGATTAAATAATTAACACTTCACTACTGCAAGTACTGTGGAAGAGCACCACGCAGAAAAAATTTTAATCAGTTCAAGATTCACAACTTTGCATGTTAGACCAATTTCCAACGCATCCGAAGAGCAGCTCAGCGCCACCAACATCATTTCATGCTTATTTATGATATTTGGATTAACACTGGGTTGAATGGAGCGCGAGTGAAGGGGAGTTTTGATTGAAATTGCCTCTTCTTCTTCTCTTCGCTCCTCGCACTCGGAGAAAGCAGTACTTGGGCGATAGGAGTGTGTAATGGAACAGAAAATATCAGATGGAGTTTGAATGGGGCCAAATGAAGTTCTGCGGTGAAGCCAGGGTCGAGTTCATCTCCAGTTTCACAAAGGGCCCTCGACGCAAGGACGCGATTCTCTCACACGAAAAGGTCGAATAAGCTCTGGACTTTTTATTCTTATTCAACTCCTGTAAAACTTAGATAGCACTGTCTTGTCTCCATGCAAAGCTGTGAATTTCAAGTGAGATTGTTTCAGTAAAAATGTTTGGAAAGAATGATTTCTCTCGCCCCATTCATTAGTATTACAATCTCACTGTCCCCCTAGTGGACTTTATTAGTACTGCAGTGGCAAAGCTATCAAATGTTCAGTATAAAATTGACTTTTATATCTATATTGTTATGTAAATATGAATGTCTTTTTGGATTTGTTTTGAAAAGCATGTCCTGAAAAGCGCTAGATAAATTAATTGCATTATTATTATTCTGTAAGTAGTTTATTACACTACAAATGAACAGCTCTCTTAAAGGTGCAACTTTTCTGGTGGAGGGTCCTGTTGTTATTGCTTCCCTGGAATGTTCCATAATATGACTTTAAACATTTATTCTTTACAGGTCAGGTGTTTCTGTTACTCAAAAATACAATAATTCCTTTTGAGGCTGAACAACCGTTTTGGACCAAAAATCGAGATTTTAGACAACATGATTTTGGGAGAGTCAAAGCCACATTTTTTTTGCAGTGCTCTTAAAATGGATCTGCATCGAGGTCTATGCACCACGAAGTAGGCAAGGATTTAAACCTGGCATTCATGTAAAGTTTAACATGAACCATCTCCAACTCGATAGAGGCACAGAACAGACTCACCATCAGCAGAACATCCCTCTGTCACATAAAGAACACATATAATCCTCTGAGTTGTGTCCTTTAGTCCGACAGAAGCTGAACCACATCAGAGCACAATAGCGAACTGTTTTTTGAGCGCTTAGTTTATGCAAATTGGCCATGCGGTTTAAGTTCAGTTTCTGTAAAACGTAAACAAATATGCTGAAAGCTGTGTGGATAGGGAGGTATTGCGGACACAGAAACGTGTCTGGACGCAAATCGTTTCTGATACAGTGATACGGTGATTAGTTTCAGTCTAAATGTAGTTTGAGTCGTGTTCTTTAGTCCGACAGAAGCTGACCGCATCAGCGCAGAAGGAGCGAGCTGTTTTTTCAGTGCTTATAGTTTATGCAAATTAGCCATGTAGTTTAAGTTTCATTTCTGTAAACTCAATGTTACTCAGTGTATATTGAAAGAAAGGAAAGCCGAGTACAGGAAATGTATGAATAGTGGCGGTAAAGAGGACCAATCACAGCCCTTATTGTCTGCGTCGCTTATCCTGCTGTCTGCATCCTTTTGACGCATGGTTAGAAAATTTCAGAGGTGCACATTGGTTGACGCAGATGGCCTGCATTGTGAGGCAGACAATTTGACACTGGACTGGGCTTTATGATCCAGCGTCAAATCGTTGGTGCAGTACTCTGGTATGATGTAACTTTTGATGATGTTTGCAAATGTTCATGTGCACTGAAATTTGACTTGAAACTAATCGTGGATGAAATCAAAATCGCAATATCTGCCAGAAAAATCGCAATTCTATTTTTTCTTAAAATCGTTCAGCCCTAATTCCTTCTGTGAATAGGGGCGACTCCACAGATCTAAGCTGTAATGTAGCGTAGTGCTGTAACCTGCTTGTCTCCCTCGTTATAGATCAGTTTAATCTATACTGTGGAACATTCTAGACCAAGCAATAACATTTCCTTGGCGAACCCTCCAGCAGAGAAAGTTACACAGTTTACCTTTAATGTATCCTAAATATTCTCCCCACTTCCCATTGACTATTCCACCAAACAAGCAGATATATGGGCATCTATCTACAAAACAATAATTATGTCTCTAAATTACACTGAAAATAGTAATAATAAACACATAAATAAATAGTTTTTAAAGTAATTTTGCTACCTTTTGGCATCCATTTTGGCTTAAAACTCTACTTTCACACAGTACAATGCTACCCTGATGCGTTACCTTCATTTTCCTTCTCAAAAATGAAATCAAAAAGTAAAATTTAGCAATGTTAGTGATAAACAACAGTGGCATTACTGTAGAAAAGATCATTATTGTGGTATACACATGTAAACACTGTACCATGGCATCGCTACACTATCTGCAAGCTATGAACATGTCAGTAAAGGGTTTTAAAGAACAAATGCAGCGTCTGAGTATAAAATCTTGCATAAGCCTGGCCATTATATAAATATACTTTGAACTATACACATGCAAAAACTATTATTGTATT